CACACACACACACACACACACACACACACACACACACACACCTCTCTTGCCTTATTGTAAAGACCTTAGCTTCAAAAGGCCAGGGTAAGGGGGATAGAAAGTTAGCCCTTTCCAGCACAGGCACAGCCCCTTTGTCCTTCGATCAGAATACACTTATTATTTCAATCTTTTTTCCTACAGTTTTCTCATCTGCCCTCAAATTTCTTGAATAAGGGTATACTACATAAAAAAATTTTATGAATATTCTAAGATTATTGTATTCAGTTTTGTACTTGTTTTGTATTTATTCTTTTTTGTATGGTACCCAGAAAGATAAACTTTAAAAATTATCATATATCCTAGGTTAACTGAGGAAGGAGTATGCTACTATTCCCCTATGTGTGGGCTTTTTTTTTTTTCCAGTTTCTTCTTGGATTATACTAGGTTATAGAATCTACATTCTGCACAAGTGTTCTAACTTCTTCTCTGCCTAAGTCCAGTAAATCCCATCTATTAGCTGCAGATCTTACTATTCATTAAATGAAGATTTTGTATGTTATAGTGATCATATTTTTCTAAACTAAATAAGGAAATACATGTTCTAATGAAGCCTCACTAAAGTGTCTTTCCCTTCCCAACCCCTTGAAATCAGTAGCATTCCAGAAAATCCAGGTTGTATGCTCCCTATAGACATGGTGTACATAGTCTTGTCTACTCACTTTTTCTTTTTTTTTTTAAGTCAATTGGGGTTAAGTGACTTGCCCAGGGTCACACAGCTAGGTCTATTCACTTTTTCATACATGTAACTGGTGTGTCTTTTAAGGTCTGGGGAGGAAGGATTTTACCCTGAACTTATAGAATGTTGTGAAAAACGCATTCAAAGCCTATGCCCTGAAAGTAGAATCTTGCGAAAAGAGAAACCTGCAGCAACAGCATCTAGTTTTACACGAGAAGAATGGGAAAAAATCGATGGTGATATAAAGGTATATATGTAACATCAGTTTTTGATAAATTGTATATAAAATGTTTGGCTAAATTTTGAGTCCACAAAGTTATCAGCATCTTTTCTTGTATTTACCAGTGTCATGAAGGTGATATTTGATGCAGCTGAATGTTAGTGGCCTAAAATTCTAGAAATGTGAATTATCAGATGAATAACATAAGGTAACTAATGCTCCATCACTCACTCCCAGTGATGCACATAATAAGATCACACTGGTAAGAGCATGTAATGGGAGGATATGATCGAGTAGTTGAGTGTTTATAGAAGAGGAAAAGTAATCTTTGGAAGAGTTAGCTCCAGCCAAGTCTGTGTAGCAAAAGCCCCTTGAACCATCATCTATCTCTGTGGCCCTGCTAGAGAAGGATTTGTAGTGTACAATGTAGGTTCATTTCCATTGTTTTTCAGTCATATCCAACTCTTTGTGACCCCATTTGGGGTTTTCTCTGCAAAGATACTAGAGTATTTTGCCATTTCCTTCTCCAACTCATTTTACAGATGAAGAACTGAGACAAAACAGAGTTAAGTGATTTGACCAGGGTCACACAGCTAGTAAGTATTTGAGGTCAGTCAGATTTGAACTTAGAAAGATGAGCCTTCTTGACTCTAGCCAGGCACTCTATCCACTGTACCACCTAGCTGCCCATATAGTGTGAGACAACCCCCCCAAATGTGTTTATCCTCTTTGGAGATTCCTCGCATTTTTTGTGTTTCAGTTTCTTAACTCTTATTTAGGTTTCTGATAATTAAAAATAATGAGTCACCTTTGATTCCCCCAAATTTAGGTTCTCTGTCTCTGGGTCTCTCTGGGTCTCTCTTTGTGTCTGCCTGCCTGCCTATACATACATATACACACACACACACAAACACAAACACACACAGAGCTGTCAATATGGGAAGCATAGTTTATGTAGTTGTTCAATAGGGATATTACATGTCACTCGAAAGTGTTTGACCTATTGCATGCTATTGAAAAGCTAATGGAAGGATACTCTTGGTAGGACATTGTAAGAAGTTGAGGGGAAAGTAAGAAGAGTTCTTGTATCTGGGCTGGAGGTCCTTGGAGTTCCTCAGCTGGAATTCTGGTGCACCCACTTCAGGCTGCCAGTCTCTGGAAGCTCAGCCAACTTTTGATTGGTCAGGTTTCAAGGTCAAGATCTGGACTTCTGCAAAATCCCTTTAAGGCTGGATTTTTGTAGAGTTTTCTTATAGTCATCCTGAAAAGGCATGGAGATATTGATCCATCCTTTCCGATGGTGAGCCTTACCTCTTTGTTGCCAGCTCCTGCCATATTTGTGTAATAAGTACCCTTTTAGGGCAACCTTGGTCAATCAGCTGGGCAAACTCCATGGCAAAGTAAACCCTGGCTAACCCAGAAAGGGAGGGAGGAGATGCCTCTATAGGAATGTGCCACTGGCCAAATTGGTTACTGGAATGTTACAAGCACAGCAGTAGCAGAATTCCTGTAGTAACTATTGAGTATATGGCAGACCCATTTAGTTTCATTTATCCAGTATTCTGATATGCTTTGGTATTCACTGAAATTCAGTAGCTTCTATAGTGAAAGCTCTTTGGTCAGGGAGTGAAAGGAAGAACTTGGACCAGGACTTTTTTTCCTTTCCATTAATTTTTTTTCCAATCATCAAGCATTAATTTTTTTCTTCCTCCCACCACCTCTCTTTGAAGAAAAAAAAGTCAAAACATTTGTAATATATGTGCATAGTCAAGCAAAACAAATTCTCATATTGGCCATTTGGATCAAGGTTTGAATTCTGGCTGTATGACCTTTGACAGTTCATTTGATCTCTCTTGGTCTCAGTTTCCTCTTCACTAAGATGCTACAGGGCTGTACTAATTAAAATTTAGGCCCGTTCCAGCCCTTATACCTATGTGATCTAACACCAGACTCAATCTTGCTTTGGGTAAAATACCAGTGAACCTTCTTGGATTACCTGAAGTCATTCATCTTTTAAGCAAGACATACATAATCCACCCTGGTATAATGCTTTCTGCACCTAACCCAAATTTAGCACATATGTTCAACAGACACGGTGTATCACGTGTTAGACAGAATGAAGCCTTTATGTTACTCTGCCACCAATTTGATTTCCTTTTGTCACTTCTAATTACCAGTTCTCATTTGAAATTAGGGTTTGTGGGGAAGGCTGCTAAGTTGCTCTTCGACAATTTTGGTACTATTAAAAATACAGCCATTGAATCCTGCCCTATCTGAATCTATCCTTTTGAAAATCATAAAGTGATATGACTAGGAAGATAAGAATGGAATAGCAGCTGCAGGAAGCAAAGTGTGGCTGATCAGAAGAGCTTGTTGTGGGTAGTGGAGGACAAAGTCTATCATGTTGCTCTCTAACTTGTTACATTTATTTGGTCAGTGTCTTGTCTTGGTCTTTCTTGTCTTTATTCTGAAAAAGGCCTTTTACTGGTGGCAAAGATGAAAAAAATAGGGTCTTACAGGACTTTCAGGTTTAATTGAATTTTGTCAACAAGTTGTAAGAGTTACTGGTCTCATCGTTTACAATATGGGTAGTGTTTAACCTCCTTTAGGCTACTAAGATGGGTAGTGACATCTTGTTGTTGACTCTTTAATAGTGAAATCAACTAGGTGCCTGAAGAGAATTAATGGCTCTCCCAAACGAGCAATGTTTTTACTCACTAGTAGGTGTGAAGACTCCTTCCCCAAGGTAGAGGAGTAGGCCATCATTGGTTTTTCCACTTAATAGATTCAGAATTGAGACAGAGATAATATATTTCTGTGACCCCTTAAGACTCACACATCATAAATCTATGAAATAGGAAGTATATTATTATGCCCATTTTAGAGGTAGATAACTCAGTCTCAGAGAGAGAAATTATGTGACTTCACTCATGGTCATACAGCCAGTAGGTATCAGAGACAAGATTTGAACACAGGTGTCCTGACTCTGAGGGTAGCACTCTTTCCTCTATACCTAGCCAGGAAAGTCAGTATTTGAAAATAAATTTGATTCATTTCAAATGATTGCTTTCATGCTGTCATGTCCTTCCTTAATCAGTTTATTTTCCAACATGTTGTTTTTCTTCTTATCTGGATTAGTTTTTGTTGTTATAATAGTGGTACAAGGTTTTATTTTTGTGAAACTGAATCCATCAATCTTGTCTGCAATAAGTCCTATTTATTTAATATAATACAATTGAGCTTAAATATATTATTCTACTTTCTTACAACTTTTCAGTAGTTTTTTTTAATTGAGTCTATGATCCAGCTGGAATTTATTATGATATATAATATGAGATGAGGATTGAGTTTTTTTTTTACCATGTTGCAATTCAGTTTTCCCAACATTTGCTAATAATTCTTTTCTCCAGTTTTGTTTTCCATAGTATATCAAGCACATTTTTTATATATTTGTTCCTTTTATGTGATAAATATGTTCTGTTCTGAGAGGCAGTGTCATATAATGGATAGAATCTCTGGACTTAGAGGGAGAAAGTTTAGGATTATATCCTGAATTAGACATTTCCTAGCTGTGACTGCCAGGGCCAAGTCACTGATCTTCTCTGAGACTCAAGGAGCACTCAATGACTACCTAAAGTCCAGACAGATTGGACTGAATTCCTCTACCTGCAGAATCATAGGTCACTGACAGATTAGTATTCTTCTGTTCCCTGCCCCCCAGTGACAACTTTGATCACAACTGCTTTATAATATATTTAAAAGTCCATGAAGGCAAATCTGCCTTCTTCAGCACCCCTCCCCTCATTAACCCTTAATATTCTTGCCTCTTTGATTTTCCATATATGTTTTGTTATGCTTTTATCTAGTTTTATATCTCTAAAGAAACTTACTAATATCATTGATATTTTGATTGATTTTTACATCAATTTAGAGATTATTGTCATTTCCAGTCAACAAGCATTTATTTAGCACCTACAGTGTGCTAAGCACTGGGTCATTAGCCTTTATTGAATAGATACATTTATGAACACTGAATTTCCCTTCAATTATTTGTATTTGTATATTTATTACAAAGGTCACACTGTCATCTAGGTAAGTGAAACCCCACGTATTAAATTTTTTTTGTTATCATTATAAATGTAGTTTCTTTTTTATGATATCTTCTTGGTTTTAATTTGATAGTAAAGAATAATGCAAATGATTGTTAATCCCTGAATAATTGAGGTAATTATATATTATTTTAGCCCAATAGGTTGAATATTTTAAGCTCTGTTTTCCTGTGATTGTTTTTTCTTTCTTAGAGTTGGGTATCGGAAATAAAAAAAGAAGACTCTAAGGTGCATTTTCATGAAATGGACACATTTCAGGAATTGGAAGGCCATCTGCCTCCAGTTCGTGGCACAAACAGCCCCCTTAATACTGGCAAGGTATTTGGATTTCTTTTTAAACAAATTTTTAAGTAGGTTTGGCCAGAGGTTCTGGGGGAGGAGGGGGTGCCTATGGGTGACTTTTTTCAGTTGTCCATTTCCTATTACCCTCTTCCAGTTGACATCCTGTCACAGAGAAGTGAAAAGGGGAAAGTTTCTCCTCTGTAAATGAAACCCCTGAGATCATAGGTTTTTCTGTTTTTTCTTCTCCTGTCTATTACTTCTTCCACCTTGATGACCACAATCCAGTGTAAGTGTGCAGGTTTCCCCAGAGAGTGTGTGGGAGTGTCATAGTACAAACTATACACAGTTGAGGGAAATTACAGGTACAGCCTCCTGTTTAGTGCAGACTTAAAACATTAAATAATCTCCTCTAAGGTATTTCCTATTGACCATTCAATTCAACAAACACTTATTAAAGTGCCTACTGTATGCAAAGCTCTCTTGATAGATTCTAGGACTATGAAGATGAAAATGAAACAGTCCTCATCCTCAAGTTACTTTAGTCAATCAGTGAATATTAATTAAGCACCTACTGTGGGCCAGCCGCTGTCCTAGGCTCCGGGAGGCAAATGCAAAGGATGAAATAACCTTATTCTCAAGCTTGCTTTCTAATAGGAGAGACAAGTACAGATGTCAGTATGTGTAGCACATATTTATATGTTTATGTACACGTATATGAGTATACACACAAAGTAGCTCAATATGAGGGAGTTTGAGAGAAATGTTGCTATTACTTGGGGGAGGGGTCAGGAAAGACGTCACGCACAAGATGGCACCCAAGCTGCATCTTAAAGGAAGAGAAGGTCTTTATGAGGTAGAGGTCAGGAGAGTTCCACAGTCTCTTCTTATGGATCTTGACTCCTCCCCCTGTGTTCCCATATCCACATTCTACTCTAAACTGAGCACCTTCTTTCTGCCTTGGAGCCGTGGGATCTTTTCCTTTCTGGGTCATAGATCTGACCCATCTCAGCTTCAGGTAATAACAATTTTGTGACACCAGCCTCAGTGTTTCCCCCCAGGAATCCCTGACTACTCTTCACTTACGCCTTCATCTTTATTTAACCATCCTGTATTCCATTTCTGTTCAGTTCTTCTTTTTTTTTAAAATCTCTTGTCTTTGCTCTTATGGCTTTCAAAAAACTAATGATAAGTTTGATTGATGCCTTTTGTTTTTACAACACAATCATTTCCTTCATCCCCCTTCTCCCCCATCTAGTAAGCTCCCTTCCCTTATAACAGAGAAAAAACAATTTAGCAAAGCCATCCAACATAATGCTGGCAACTGACAGTTGTATGACACTGACTTCTTCATTTTTGTCCTTTCTCATGGAGCAAAAACATTCCATTAAATTTGTAGCATCCACTCGGGTTGCCTCCCCAACTTGTACTCAAAAGTTGAGTCAGTCAGTCAGTAAGCATTTATTTAGCACCTACTGTGTGCCAGGCACCGTGCTAGTTGCTGGGGATACAAAGAAAGGCAAAAAAGATGACAGCTCAAGGTTTGAGGTACTTGCTGGGCCTCATGCCCCTAAAACCAGAGCTTACAAGCTCCCACCAGAATGTTTATCTTGACTCTGGTTAGCCAGAGGACACAGCTTAAAGCAAAGGGCATTTACTGACATGGCATAGTAAAAACAGTAGCAGCAAAACACCTCCCCCATAAACTTGGGGTGTACCTGCCCACAAATGGGAGGGTGTCAGCAGGAAGAAGGGATACAGTTCACCAATGGAAAGAAACACGTGAAGGGAGCATAAACAGCCAAGGGACATGCAAGAAGGGACAACTCACATGTCTGATGCTACAGGAGCACTGGTGTCCTTACACTGATTCTGTCATATGCTATTGCCTGGCCATGTTTACACTACATCTTTGATCTTTCAGAAAAGGAGGGGACAAACATTTATTAAGTGCTTAGTATGTGCCAGGCACTGTGCTAATCGCACAATAACACTGTGAGATGGGTGCTATTATTATTCCCATTTTACATTTGAGGAAACTGAGGCAGATGGCGGTTAAGCGACTTGCCCAGGGTCAAGTAAATGTCTGACTCCAAGCCCAGCCTTCCATCTACTATGCCATCTAGCTGCCTTTCAAAAAGAAGTATCTGTATTTCTGTTTCCTCAGAATCTCAGCTCTAATGTCTCCCATCTTTTAGTCAGTAACAAAAAGTAGGATTGACCCAGCAAACTAATGCCCTTAGATTTTGATAGTTTTACTACTCTTCCTTGTAGAGGGCTGGGTTCCCTAAGTCAGAGATCTCACCCTGAGTTGTAACAATTATCTATTATGCTTCCAAAATTCATATTTATGTAGGCTAGGCCTTAAGATGGGCCTTGGCCATTGGCCCAGTAATCCCAACTCTGGAGTACAGGGTTCCCCATTTAAAAAACAACAATCTGATTCTCTATGGCTTATCCACGGAAAGGTGGAAAAAGGTACAGAAGCAATCAGTGCCCAGAGGACCAGTTCCTTGTCTTGTCTAACTCTTCATCTACTGCTTTGAACTTTTCATATGTCAATTCAGCCATTCAAATCCATACCCTAGCACATTTATATACAATAACTTGTCTAGCCATTTTCCAATTAATGATAACCTACTTTGTTTCTGGATTTTTGTTAACCAAAAAAGTTGCGCTATGAAAGTTTGGTCTATGTGGCATTTTACTATATTTGAACTCCTTGAGGAGCTCAAATGTGCAAGGGACTGTATGCTACAAAAAGAGGCAAAAGATAGTCCCTGTCCTCAAGGAGCTTACAATCTAACGGGAAAGACAACAGGCAAACAAATATCTACAAAGCAAGCTATGTACAGGATTAATAGGAAATACTTAACAGAGGGAAGGCACTGGAATTGAGAGGAGTTGGGAAAGGCTTCCTGTGGAAGGTGCAATTTTAGTTGGGACTTAAAGGAAGCCAGGGAAGTCCTGGAGCAGAGAGTGTTACAGGCATAAGAGGCAGCCAGAGAAAATGCTCAGGGCTGAGAGATGTAATGTCATGTTCATGGAATAGCCAGTAGTGAGATCTCTAGGCAAAGAGTATGAACAGTTTAGTGACTTTTCTTATACAATTCCTGAAGGGTTGGATAAATTCATGGACCCACTAACATGTTAGTGTGTCTGTCTTCTTTCTGTCATTGAGAGCCAGAAAGACTCAGTTTCAAATCTGTCTCAGACAGGATTAGCTTTGTGACCCTGGGCAAATCACTTAATCTCTTACTGTCTCAGTTTCCTCATCTGTAAAATTAGGCAATTGATTTTTTTCTCTTCTAAGGTCTGTCCTGGTTCTAAGTCCATGATCCTATGACTATTGTTATTTTTGCCAATTTGTCAGATATGAGATAAAACTTTGGAGTTGTTTTAAAATTTGTATTTCTCTTACTTTTAATTACTCAAAGCATTTTGGCCTGGTCATCCACACTGCAAAGAACAAGTGGATGATAAATGTCTATTACCTGGATTACAACCTACGTTTGGATGGGCAATACATGGAACTGTTCCATCAGAATGTATATCTAGGACAGATGGTACAGACAGAGAAGTCAGGTCTAGAGATGAATAGGAGAAGAAAACATCCTGGATTACTCTGAGAAAATTATAAAGCAATTTTGAGAGTCCTTTATTAACTCCAAGCCTCCCATGAAGGCAAACACCCATCTTTTTAATGCCAGTTTTCTACCAGTGCTGCTATGTCAGCAAGACATGAAATGCAGCAGTCTCTGAGGAATTAAAAATTAATAACATGCAGAGGGTAATGCAGAGGCTTGTTGTGGAAAGAGTGTTGTGAGCAGGCTGCAAGATATAACTAATTAGGAACTCTGAAGAACAGGAATAAAAGATGTCATTAAGGAATTATATGATAGGAAGATTAAAATGCACCAGTCACGTGGTGAGGCCAGGGGATGACAAGTGAATAGTCAAAGTGCTCCACTGGTATACTCTTGATGCCAGGAGAAAAGAAGGACCCCACTATATTGGGTGGACCTCCTATGGCACATTTATGGGACAACATGGACCAGAGTTGCTCAGAATATGCAGCATAGATGGGTTGCTGTTTGAATCTTTGGAGGGAACTTACAAATCAATAAAATCGTAGATCATTTGAATATTTGAGTTTTTTTTTATTAGAATACTCTTTCACATCCAGGTTGATAATTTGACATTCTTCTTTTTAAAAAATGTTTCTTATTCTTTTACCATTTATTTATCGGGAAAACTTAAGTTTTCTAATGGATGTAATCCTGACTTTGGGGCTTTCTGTCCAGATACAGTTGTCATGAAGATAACTAGACTCTGGAAACATACAATAGACTCTGGCCTTTGTAGTCTTCTGGAAACAAGGATTCCAGAAGAGAAAAGATTATTCATTTTGCACCATGTGGGAGAAAATTATGTTGGCAGGTTCTGCCTGCATCTGATTTCTGAAAGAATGGTGGCCCAACATATAGCATGATCATGTGTAGCAAAGCACAGGGCACCTCGCCTAGAAAGGATGTGTTGGGCAACCCCTAGCTCATGGAGTATGAGCACCACACAGGAGGCTGGTCTTGCCTGGATTCCATTTGCATTTGCCTCAAGGGTTTGCTTCAGTGAGGTCTAGGACAATATGTATGTAAAATGATATCTTTCTACTTATAGGTCCTCCTATTTATGAGAGAGCTCGAACTCACCTCAGGGCATGATATCGACCTTCTTTGCTCATAAACCTTCCGTAACGGGTCAGTGTTTACTTGTCCTTCTTGGAGTTCAGCCTAGAGTGAAGCAGAGGTGAACCTCCTTCCTTTCTTTTCCCAAAACTCTGTCCTTAATGACCACTGTCATGTATCTCAACAGACAAGGATTTGCTGGCCCACAGGATTTTCTTTATAACAGGAGACTGACAACCCTATCAGAACACCACTACACAGAAGAATTCTGGTCTCTTTATTTATATCAGAATTCACCCTCTGGCTCTCTTCCATCTTTTTGTCCTCTTTTATCCAAACAGGAAACACGGTGGGATTGGAGTAAGTGTTGCATCAGTTCTGAGTGCCCCTGGCCTGCCTCAGCCTTCCAGTCCTGGAGAAGTGGGGCAGGGTAACCAACATCTAGAAATCAGATGTGAATCAACTCTGCCTGGGGTACTTCTCCCACAGGTCTATGACTCTTATGGTGCTCAACAGTTTTTCTGTTTCTCTCTCTCTCTCTCTCTCTCTTCCTCTCTCTCTCCCTTTCTCCCCCTCCCTCTTCCCCCTCCCTTTGTCTCCCTCCATCCCCCTCCTCCTTTCCCTTCCTCTCCCTCCTCCTCCTCCTCCTCCTCCTCCTCCAAGTTTGCCTCCTATTGATGCTCCATGGGGCTCCCCTGCTCTTCTTTCAAGTACATGCCGCCTGCCCCTCATTCCTCTACAGCTGATGTCCCTGTTCAAAGCAGGAGCTATTTTCAGGTCTCACCTCACACACGATCCTACATTCAGAGTAGGGTATCTTAGGAGTTTCAGGGCTTTCTTTAATGAACAATTCTGCTGTGTTGCAATTGTGGGCTAAGAGGAGTTATACTCGAGCATATCTATTAAAGGGCAGAGGAAACTCCACACCTATTAGAGATAACAAAGTAAATATTGTCAACATCCTTAAATAACTATCCAGAGTAAATTTTTATTAATCTTGGGTGGTTACTTGTAAGGCTATTATATTGTTTTATTTTTTCATGCAATGGGTACCACTGAACACTAGAGGGAACTGTGGGCATCAGCCCATCAATGTCTCTTTTCCTTCCTCAGGCTCTTAGGGCAGTTGGTTGTCAGGCCCTGCTGTGTGGGTGGTGCCAGGTTCTATAGTTGCCTAGGGGTGTGGTTGCACCTACCAATCAAACCACTTAGCTTGGGCCCATCTGGCTACTGCCGTTTCATTGCTTTGAGCTTTGTCTCACTGACGTTTACTAAGGTCATTATTTTATAAAAGTGATGGAATAGTTAGTAATACAAATGAATATCAAATCCCAATCTGCCATGCAAATCCCAGACTGTTGCACACCCGAAGGGGGGGAGCAAAAATCTGGAAATTCAGTTCTTGACCCAGCTTCCAGCCAGAGCTGAACAAAAGGTTTTTTGTTTTTTTTAAACTGGGTGATCTCTGAGACTGCTCCAATGAATGCCAGAATGGAATAGCACCTGATCTTTCTCCTCAAGGCCACAAATACTAGTACAACATAGGGAGGCAGTTGAATTGATTTTATGTACTCCAAGATTTCCCACCTATTCCCCACCGACCCAGTATCAGTCTTTCAGTTGAGAATCAGTTGCGGGAATCAAACCCTGTCCCTTTACTGCTGGAACAAATTAAAGTTTGTTGGGCTTTACCTCAGGGAGGTAGTGTTGCCCAACTATCAGATTCCTTCTGCAACCAAACAGTATGCAAGGAATGAGCTGGCAGACCTGTGGTCTACCTCCATCCCCCAAAGTCTGCTCTTAGACATGTGTGCCCTTACATCCCTATAACTCCCCAAGTCCATCAACTGGGGAGAATGTAGCTATCTTTCCTGAAACAATAATATTGTGTTTATTCTAACCCAAGGCCTCACATCTTAGTCACAATAAGACCCTAAGAAAAAAAAATAAATATTTAGTAAAATTTGGTTTTATTCTTCCTTTAGGAAAAAGATAATAAATCTAGATCCTCTCAGAAGAAGAAAGTACCAAGAGATTATGCAGAATGGGATAAGTAAGTACATTTATATGATGATATGTTTTCTTATCTATGTATATTTATTTCTGAAAAGTAATGAATTACTGTAAAATTCTAAAATAATTTCTTAAATATCCAATCCAATCAACATTTATTTAGCCCCTAAGATGTCCGAGGCACTGTGCTAAATGCTGGGAATACAATTGATAAAAAGGCAGTACCTGCCCTCAATGAGCTTATAGTCTAAAAGGGGAAACAGCACACAAAAAGCTACAGAAGAGCAGGGTGGGGGTGGGAGAGAATACCGGGAGGTTCCAGGCCAGGGACATTTTGTTTGGTGACGTGGAAACCAGGAAGAGCATCAGGTGCAGACTGGAGACGGCAGAGAGTCCAGTGTCTGCCCTCTGTAAAGCAAGGCATTGGCAGGGGTTTGGTTCTCTGCCCTCCAGTCAGAGGGGAGGGGAGATAGCTTTAGTTTGTGTTCTAGGCTGTTTAATCATCATGATGATGACAGCTGAAGTTTGTATAGCCCTGAAGTTTTATGAAGTGATTGACATCCATGATATCATTTGAGCCTCATAACCACCTTGTGAGGCCATACTACTGCATTTGTTGTATCTTGTGAGGCAGTACCACATTTATCATCCCAGTTGTACAGGTGAGGAAACTGAGGCTCAGAGAAATCGGATGTGTAGGGTCACCTAGCTAGTCTGTGTCAGAGCCTTCAAACTTGGGTCTCTTCCTGCTTCTGGGTCCAGCATGGTTCTTATTACGTACGCCACACTGCCTTTAACACACAAAGCAAAGAACGCTGGAAATTTGGAGTTTATATGGCTAATTCCTGGTACGATTTATTCTCTTTCTAGACATAAAGCTTCAATAAATTGCATTCCCCTCCTCAAGTCTTGCCTCTCATACATATCAGTTGTGTGGGCCTGGGCAAGTCACTTAGCCTCTTGGTGTTCTAGGCATCACTACTATAAGTTGTAGAGAAAGTCCCAGCCCGCACTGATAGAAGCAGTTCTTTGTCTGGAATTTGCCACACCAGGTCACTGGTACAGTGGATCGAGTGCTAGGCCTGGAGCCAGGAAGACCTGAACCCAAATCCAGCCTCAGATACTTACTAGCTGTGTGACCCTGGCCAATCTCTTAACCTCTGCCTCAGTTTCCTCATTTGTAAAATGAGGATAATAATGGCACCTACCTACCAAGGTTGTTGTGAGAATCAAAGAAAAATATTTTGTAAAGTGCTTAGTACAATGCCTGGCACATAGTAGGTACTTTATGTTAGCTGTTATCATCATTATTATCATCATATTGTATTATCATTACTACATTATATTATTGTTATATTACATCATATTATTATATCAGTGAACTCACAGGTCCAATTCGTATCCCCTATTACCTTCTGATCCCCATTATCATTTTGTTTAGTCATTCAGTCACGTCCAATTCTTTGTGATCCCATTTAGGATTTTCTTGGCAAAGATACTGGAGTGCTTTGCCATTTCCTTCTCAAGCTCATTTTATAGATGAGGAAACTGAGGCAAACATGATTAGGTGACTTGTCCAGGATCACACAGCTATTAAGCAATAATACCTCAGGCACAATGCCTGAGACTTGAAAGATGTTTCTTAATTATAATCTATAAGGCCCAAATACGGTGCAGGTTTTGATTATTGTAGGAGTTCCCATTACATTGAAAATTTGTAAAGATTATAGCAAGGATAATTTGTAACATAAGCCTATATTGTGAAACAGTGTGGTATTGTGAAAAGAATGCTAGACTTGAAGGTGGGAGAGACCTAGGTTCAAATCCTGGCTCTGAAACCTATTAGCTGTGTGACCCTGGACAAGTCACTTACTTAACTCTTCTGGCCTCTCTAAAATAGGAATCTGAAGTAAATAATTATAGGTACTAACTACTCATAGAGCAGTGATAAGGGTCAAACAAGATCAGTCAATCAACAAGTATTCATTAAGTGAATACTATGTGCCAAGCACTGTGCTAAGTGCTAGGCATACAAAGGACAAAAATGAAATAGGTCCTGCCTTCAGAGGGCTTACATTCTATGCAACATGTACTAAGGTTAAAAAAAAAAAACTCATATTAATTTTGATATACCTCTATACAAAAGACACACAAGGTGATGGCAGGAGTTGGAGAGTAGAAAGCTGGAGATGAGGAAAGGCTTCCTAGAGCAGGTGGCATATGAACTGATTTTGAGGAGAATTAGGGATTCTAAGAAGGGATGGTAAGGTGGGAGTGGAGTGCATTTCAAGCATGGGGACAACCTCTGCAAAGGAACGGGAAAGGAAAGTGGAATGTCATTTGTGTAAAGCACCCTATAAACGCCAAACCAATATACAAAGACCACATTTATTTAGTTTAATGCCATATTTAAATACGTATTTGTTGTTTGAGTGGGTTCTCAAAGGCACAGTGAAGGAAACGTAAATGTAGTAATAATTAAACTTTCCTTTGTTGTTTTGAAGTTTTCCATATGTTGCATTATAAAAGTCATTTTATTTTTTTTCTTTCATTTAAGATTTGATGTGGAAAAAGAATGTTCAAAGATCGATGAAGATTATAAAGAGAATACTACACCAAATATCAGCTCACATTCACTTAAAATTGAGAAGAATATTGGTACAATAGGTAATTGCAACATATGTTAACTTCATATTATGTTGACAGTTGATAATGAACCACAAGACATCTTTCAGGACCCAAAAATACAATTTTGAAAATTGTTTGAAGGTTTAGAAAGTGTTCTCCCTGAAACTGCTTTTCCCATCCCAATCAAACCCTATCTTGTCACTGGCACTTACCATTAAAATAATGATTTATTATGTTGGAGTTGTATGACTTCAAATAAATCCAGTTTTTCTCACCATCTATCCAATTGTTTATCCTCCTAAATTTCTTTCTTCTCCAAAGCCCCTCAGTTCCTTTGTTGACCATTCACATACAAAACAAGTTTAAGGCATGATATAACAGTCTTTAGTTCACTTTAAGAACCAACTAAGATTAACATTACTCAACAACGACCAAAAAAGCCCTCAGAATGAATTCAGCACAAGACACTCAGAATGATAGAACTGTTCTTTAAAGAAAACTCTGATTATAAAAGTTTTAGTTCCTATTTTTAAAATTAAATTCTCAGTTTTGTTATTTTTTAGCCTTTTTTATATGCAGCAAAGATGTTCTTTTCTAGGTCTGAGTGACAAAGAAAAAGATTTCTTAGCTACTCGTGAAAAAGAAAAAGGTAATGAAGCCTTCAGTTCAGGTGACTATGAAGAGGCTGTGACATATTACACTAGGTAAGTTGGTGTTTGATTTTTCTTTTTCTAAGTGGGATATATTTTTACATTCACACAGCTCACTGATATGGATAGTGAACATAAGATCCCATTCTTTGGGAGTGCATTGATTTTAATAGAGAATTTGGTTTTGTTCAGAATGTCAGGGCAGCTAGGTGACATAGTGGATAGAGCTCCAGCCTTGGAGTCAGGAGGACCTGAGGTCAAATCTGGCCTCAGACACCTTGACACTTACTAGCTGTGTGACCCTGGAAAAGTCACTTAACTCTGATTGCCTCACCAAAAAAAAGCAAAAAAAAAAAAAGTGTGTGTGTGTGTGTATATATATATATATGTGTATATATATATATATGTAAAGAACAAAATGTCTCTTGCATATAACTCAAAATTATATGAAATGCCAGGATGGATGTAATTAAAAAGATCACTTTGGTGGTTTTCTAATATAGGGTTGGATTTAGGAAGATCTGAAATCAAATCCTACCACAGAGACTTAGTAGCTGTGTGACACTTGACAAGTTATTTAACCACTCTATGCCTCAGTTTCCTCATCTGCAAGATAGGATACCTCACCGGGTTGTTGTGAGGATCATGTGAGAAAATATAAGTAAGGCACTTTGCAAACCATCAGTTGCTGTTGTTGTTCAGTCATTTTTCAGTCATGTCTGACTCTATGTGACCCAATTTGGGGTTTTCTTGGCAAAGATACTGGAGTGGTTTGTCATTTCCTTCTCCAGCTCATTTTACAGATGAGGAAACTGAGGCAAACAGGGGTAAGTGACTTGCCCAGGGTCACATAGCTGGTAAGTGTCTGAGACCAGATTTGAACTTGGGAAGATGAGTCATCTTAACTCCAGGCCCAGCCCTCTATGCACTATGGCACCACCTAGCTGCCCACAAACCATCAGAGTGCTATATAAATGTTAGTGACTATTACTGCTAGTAGTGACAATAGGTAAGTTGGGTAAGAGGAAGATAGGAATGCTAAAGATATTTACCAGTGTCGAAGAGGTCCTTCAGAATGTCCCAAGGTTGACGGTGAGAGTCTGCATATACTCTTTTCTATCTGCCATGGAGAATGGTGGTACCACTAATGGAGCTAAGGAACCTGTGTATGTTTGGGCAGTGAAAGCAGAGGCCATTTAGGTTTGGCATCTGTTGAGTTTGAGCTGGTGATCTGAAGCATCAAGGTGGAGACAGCTTTGTGGTAGTTGGAGATAGAACTAGAAATAAAAGTTTGAACGTCATCAGCATAAAGGTGACACTGAACCTAAGAGAAAAGATCTAATCACTGAAGAAAAGAATACTGCCTATGATAACATGTAGAGTGGCAATGATTCATTCCCCTGGAACACCTGTGGTTAGGGAGAGGGGAGAGATTAGAGAAGCCAAAGCCAGAGATGGTGCCTGAGGTTTAGATATCTGGGTGGTAACTCAACATGTAGGAATTATGGTGAGGGATAGAGTAGCTCTAATCAATCAATGGACAAGCATGTATTAAGCAGCTACTACATGCCAGGCCCTGTGCTAGGCACTGGTGGGAGAGGAGAGGTAAAAAGGAAAAAAAAGCCAGCCTCTGTCCCCCGAGGAGCTTATTAAAGGACACAATGTACAGATACACATACATTTACGCGTACATATACGTATACATATACATATACACATGTATACATGTGTGTATATATAAATACAAAATGTTATAAAGTAAATACTGGTAAAAATATAATCTCCTGGAGTTATATGTCTCTAATTAAGAAGGCTTTAAAGTTTAAGTTGAGAAGGAAAGGGGAAGGAGAAAATTACCCACAGAAATATGCCAAGCTAGATACCACGGAGAGTAGCAGGTAGGAAGAAGAATGACAGTAATTTAATACCAGTAATTTACATGAGAAAATATGTAACAAGAGAGCCAGCCATAAGACCCAAGTCCTCAGATGACAATACATGAAAGTATGAATAAATAGGGTAAACTAGAGATAATAAAAGTAGGCACATGTGGTCCTCTAGTTATCACTGAGACTTTGGACTTAGGAATTTAGGACTGGAAAGAGCAAACCATATTCAGAAAGTCTAGATACAGGAGGTAATGGAATGGCGTGGCATATTAATTAATAAGATGTACTCATGAAGAAATCAGAGAACTAAAGGGTGATCACATGGCTCATGGAGAAGAGGAGAGATGCCTGGATCCTACTGCCAGAGGTACAGTTTTAATTATTTTATGCAGTGCTAATACTGCACTGCTCCCCAGTTTTCATTTAACTGTTACCAAATTACTGAGTGAATGGATATATTTTTTGGAGCTAGATTCACATAGAATTTGGGAGATCATTTGCTCCAGTTTCATTATTTGACTTATGAAGTAACAGACCTAAGAAGTTGAGACACTTATATAAAGTTGCAGCAAAGGTGAGGTTAGAATCTAATCTAACTAAGCTTTTTTTTCCTTTTTGGGATAGAGAAGAAATATTTCATTTTTTCTGATGTATATGAAACAAACTATGTTTCTAAACAAGTCTTTTCTAAACTGTTTGAAGCTAACTCTTGAATAGCCTAACTTCGTAGTAAACAAACATCAATTTTCTAATTGAATCTTGTGAGATTACTGATATATGAAAGTAAGAATATTATATCATTTGTAGAATTTTCATGTCTTGTTCCATCAGTTAATATGGTGTTAATGCAGTAAAAATGTAAGATGTTAGTGCACAGAATTATATCTAGGATTAGTTATAGAATCTGGAGCTGGAAGAAGCCTCAGAAGCAATCTAGTCCACCCCTCATTTCACAGATGAGGAAACTGAGACCTGGAGGGTTAAGTAATTTTCTTTAGATCACACAAGTAGTCAGCATAGCAAGCAGAATTGGAACCCAAGTCCTCTGCCTTCAGGGGTCAGTCTTCTTTTCATCGTTGTCTGCTGACTTCCCTGTCTTCCTCTAAGTTCCACCTCAAATCCCATCTTCTACAGCAGAAGTGTCACCGCCCGCATCATTCCTGCTTGGACCATATTTGAAAAAAAAAATTTTTTAAGATGTGTATTCCAGTTCAGATGTTTCACCACTAGTTTTATCTTTTTGTCTGTATTCCTTTTTTCTCTCTGAGTGTGGCCTGAACCAAATTAAAATATAATTGAGAAATATTTTTCAAAATAAATTGAGACATAGTAGAACATAGATAATGATGATGTGTGGTTTTCTACATCAACATGTGGCCTCGGGGATCCTTAGGTGTGGTATAGTGGCCTTCTTACTATTTGCATTAAGAAAACCTTTCCCAAGCCCTCTTAATTCCAATGTCTTACCTCTCTTAATCATTCACTTTTATTTACTTTATTTACTTGTTGACTCCCCCATTAGATTGTAAGCATCTTGAGGGTGAGAACTGTCTTTTGCCTCATTTTGTAGCCCCAGCACTTAGTAAGGTGCCTGGAACATAGTAGGTGCTTAATAAATGTTTATTGACTGACTAACATTGTACCATACTGCCTCTAGTTTAGTTAATTAAAGCATTGGGCTGGTGCTAAAGATTAGGAATTTGATCCTAGCATTCCCAACTCCCGTTTAGCAGTGACTGGCTTTGGTAACACGGAAGAATTGGACTATATGTGAAAAAAAAATTTTTTTGAGATATGTATTCCAGTTGCCCTTTTTTGGTTCATATGTTTCACCACTCGTTTCATCTTTTTGTCTATATTCCTTCATTCTCACTAATATAGGTAATCCTTCCTCCAATGCAGGTCACAGCCCCATCTGTGCCTTTTCATCCTGTGAGATTCTTATCCATGTCCTTCTATAAACTCTGTAAAAAATCTGCATAATAAACAAGCCTCAGAATGAATGGATGAATGAATGGATGGAAATACCTTTATTCAACACTTATATGCCAAGCACAGTGCTAGGTACTGGAGATACAACTAGGAAATTGAGGCAGTTCCTATGCTTAATGAGGGGAGAAGGGGGTGTCACATTCTAATAGGCAGAAACAACACACATAGGAGGGTTCAGTTACAGGGTAGATGGAAAGGCCTTGGGATCTTGGGGTTCAATAGCATAAGATTTAATTGTTTTTGGAGATCATGAACCTCACAATGCCCATTGCATCAAACCAACCTGGGCAGATGGCTTCAATTATCCTGCTCTGCTCCAGCAGACAAGTGATTGTCACAGCTTCTGGCCAGGTCGGCAGGGTGTGGCTATGTAGCCACTGCCATGGACATAAAAATGCCATTGTCCTGGTCGAGTTATCTAGGTAGCCGGTGATGACCTGATCTCTTCACTCGTCCCACATATCTCTTCCAGCCAGTCTTTCCTGGCAGCTGCTACCCAGAGCCTCTCTGCTCTTAGCTAGGCTGGTCCTTGGGTACCAGACTGATGCTGTTGCTGGAGCCATTGTACCACAATCCTTCTACTTTGGTAGGACCTTGGTAGAGCGGATGGAAGATGAGGTAGGGCTTTTGTCAAGGGCAGGCACTTGACTATCATGGCAGTAACATTTCTGAATTCCTTCTCTTTTAAATGGTAAATTTGAACAAAATATGTTAATGGCCACCACAAGCAGCAGCTCTTTTCAGGTTTACATCTTGTCATCTTGTTTTAGCTGTGCAGTGCTTTCTTACTTTAGTAATCTAAACTCATTTTCACTTTTATTACTTTCCTATTTCTTCCTGTAATTCTCCTTCTCAGAGTTTATAGCTAACTTGAATCTCTTATTATCCTTATCATTCCTAAATACATGTATAATTTGTTCCAGAACATCATACAACTTTTTCTGAACAGCAGCCAGATTTGTGGAGCCCTTTTGTTTCTTAGTTTTTGTTTCTGCTGGATCCTTCCCACTCATACCCTGAAGCTCATAAAATTTTCATTCTTAGAATTCATTTTCTTAATCTGGTTGGCTTCCTTCCTTTGTCCCTATGGGTCTTAAATTCAGTTGATCTTGTGATCATTGCTTCAAAGATTTAGAGCCACTTCCAGCTTATTTTCTATAAGCAAAGAAATGAAAACAAGAAGAGTACTTGTTCTAATTGATTCTTCTACCTTCTGTACTAGAAAATTGTTTTCATAGTAATCCAAAGTCAGCTTGGCATTTATGTCTATTGGGTTGTGATCAGCCATCTTGGGTAGTTAAAGCAGTCCATTTTCACCTCCATATTCTGAGCTAAGCTTTAGTACTCAAATATATTTTAAAACTTTTATTGAAAATTTACTTATATAAGAGTGTTTTTGCTTGTATTCATTTTTCATTTTATCACCTTTTATCTATTTAGACTGCTTTATAATTTTATCTGAGTTATTACATATACACATAACACATACTTTTGATATCTAGCAATTTGAGCTTTTTTTGGTAAATAGATTCTCTTTAATATCATAGGAGCATATCAGTATCTCCCACAGTGGCTGCGTATAACAACAGAGCTCAAGCAGAAATCAAACTAAAGAACTGGAATAATGCTCTTCAGGATTGCGAAAAAGTGTTAGAGTTGGAACCTGGAAACTTAAAGGGTAAAACAATTGATACAAAATTAATTTCAGTAGAATTTGTTTGTTTGTAACATCTAATTATGAGTTATTTCCTTCATGTAAGTATCCTTAATTAGAAAAAGAGTCGAATTTGGCTTCAGAGAATCTCAATTTAAACCCTGGCCCAGCTGCCTCTGTGACTTGGGCTGAGTCATTTACAGTCTCTTGGCCTGAATTTCATCATATCTGAATTGAGGGAATTCACAGGGTCATAGACTCAGAGTTACAAAAGACCTTAGAGGCCAGGGTCAAGTCCAGCTTCGCCCTCATTTTGTAGATGAAGCAACTGAGGTCCAGAGTATTTAAATGACTTGCCTAGAGTTATACAACTAGTATGTACCTGAAGCAGGATTTGAACCCAGGTTTCTTGACTCCAAGTCCAGTGCTCAACCCACTACTCCACACTGCTTCCTGGGGTTGGACTAAGTGACTTCTAATTAAGATATATACCAGTTCTGTTAAAGTCGTGACACATTAAGCTATTAAGCTAATAATTCAATTTCAGTTTCTGAAAGTACCTGCCCCTAGATATAGCTGATTTCTACACTCACGTAATCTAAAGGATTCTTTCCTGATATTGCCTCAGAAATACCTTTTATCAATTACTTTGAATGTGCAATGCAAGTTTCACTGATGGTACTATACACTGAGTATGATACTAATATGAAATAAGCTAAAATTAGAACCAAGATAGTCTGAAAATTTTCTGTCTTTTTTTTTTTTACTATTGAAAGATTGAAAAAGAAATTAAGACTGGAAAAATGATTCTTGTTTAGTGTCTATACACCTTAGTAATTACATAATTAACGGTTTTGTGCTACTTACATTCTCTCTTCAATTGCAAAATAAGCCACGACCGTCTAGAGTGTAAGTGTTGAAAGAAATATTTTTTGCAAATTTGCAGCTTTTATGCGACGTGCCACTGCATATAAACATCAAAACAAGTACCATGAAGCAATAGAGGATTTGAAGAAAGTGCTAAATATTGAGCCAGACAATGTTATTGCTAAGGTAAGGGAAATTATTTCCTGCTTGCTTCTCTAATTTGTGTTCCTCAATTATATTAAAATGTCAGCAAACTAATGGACAACCACCTTAGCAAATAAACTTAAACTGAGGGCTAGATTCTCTACTTGAAACGTATTACAAGTAGTATAGAATATAAATATCTCTTTGGAAGTAGCATGAAATATGCTTAGGGTTTTTTTTAAATGGTGCACATATGTACATGCATAATACACATGTGCACACACACAGACACACAAACTATTAGCCTGTCGGCCTTTGTTGCTTTTCTAGTTGTGCTAACAGTTTCTTACAGGCCATCTGTCAAGGAAAGAATGTTATACTTGTAGTCAGAAGATTTGGCTTCAGATCCTAGCTCTTCCACCCCTTGGATGACCTAAGACAAATCATTTCACCTCTCTAGGCATATTTTCTTCATCTGGAAGATGAAGGGCTAAGACTAATAATAGCTTATAATAATTAGCATTTATATAGCACTTACTGTGTACCAGGCACTGTACTAAGCTCTTTATGATTGTTATCTTATTTGATCCTCACAACAAACCTGGGATGCAGGTGATATTATTATTATTATTATATCCATTTTACAGATGAAGAAACTGAGGGAAACAGAGGTTAAGTTACTTGCCCAGAGTCACACAGTTAGGAAGCGTCTGAGGCCGGATTCGAACTCAGGTCTTTTGACTCCAGGTTCAGCACTCTATCCAACAGGCCCCCTAATTTCCCTAGATCTATTATCCTGTGAGTCTGTGAGCTCTCTTGTTTTATATGATCTGTGATTTAACTTTGTAGAGAGTTGCTTAAGTCACCAAGCAGCTAAGCACTTGCCTAGGGTCACGCAGTCAGTGTGTGTCAGAGGCCTGAGTTGGACTTTGAGGCCACCTGCCACTTTCCTCTGCATCTGCTGCCTCCTTGCTGAGAGCTCCCTGCGCCAATGTAAGCATAGGTCCAGTCCAAAGTCAATATGTATGTGCGTCTTCTTTGCCTAGAGCAATAGTCAGTTTAGACCATTAGCAAGCACGTGTGCTCTGTTGGCATATTCTTTGAGACGACCTATTAGTTCAAGACACACAATTAGATGCAGCCTTTGGTGTGTTCCATAGGTGGTGTGAACACAGGAATTCCTCATTATTTGGAAGGACTTTCACTTATTCCCAGAGACCCCAGTTAGGATATGAGGGAAATATGTCTTTTCTGTTTTCGATTGCCCAATTGGGCCTTAAGGATTAGGACTAGAGGAGAGACAGATAAGTATAAATCTCTAGAATTGCTTACATTTCAGGGTGCTGGTCCTGGAGTCAGGAAGACCTGAGTTCAAGTATAGCCTCAGACTCTTACTAGCAGTTTGACCTTGAACAAGTCACTTAACCGTTATCTGCCTCAGCTTCCTCAACTGAAAAATGGGGATAATAGTAGCACCTATCTCTCACGGTTGTTGAGAAGATTAAATGAGACGATACTTGTAAGGTGCTTAGCACAGTGCCTGGCACATAGCAGGTGGTTCATAAATGCTTCTTCCCCTCCCTCCCCTTCCAACAAAGTTTTCTGCAATGAAAACTACGGGGACTAAAAGCTTCCTGGCAGAAAGGGCTTGAGGAACACAGGGCATGGTTTATGATAGCTCTGGCTAGCGGGCACCTTGTCCAGAGTAGCATAAGCATGGCCAGATTAAGTGAAACAGACTGATTGAAATGGGTTCATTTCATCAAACAGAAGTTCATCAAGCAGATGTCCAGTAGCATCTTGACAGCCATGTGTGTGTGTATGTGTGTGTGTGTGTGTGTGTGTGTGTGTGTGTGTGTGTGTACACACATTTTATGTGGGAATGAGGTCAGGTAGGCAGAAGAAAACAACCTTGCTATCTGGGCTTAGCTTTGTTTCTGAGCCTCTCCCCTTTCCCACTCAATTAAATGGGAAACTGAAAGAATCTCTGGGTGGAGAAAACTGGGGGTGTTGCGCCCAAAGAGCCTGGGGCAGCTTGTCAGAAGGGCAGCCTCTAGACTGATGCCCGCTGGGTGCGATGCCCGCTGGGTGCTGCTGAACAGTCATTTGTTCATCAGGAGGTCACGAGGAACATCAATCCTAAGTCAGAATGAGGGTTCTGACAGTGACCCCAGGCCTCCTTTAGTGAGCATTGGAAGTCAAGGTTAAAGAACAGAAGAATAGTGTTCACAGCCCTTTCTGTCACTCTCTAGTACTAGGGCTGCCATGAGGAGACATTTTTAGATACATGGCTCATACCAAGGCAACTGGTGGTAAGTCCCCTGGCGGAAGAACACCCAGGAAGCAACTTCTTGTACTAGAGGAGTCTAGAAAATTTATTGCTCCAGGCTAGGGACTGTTGGCTCTCCGGGAAATCCACTGAACTTCTGATTGGGACACTTCTCTACTGTTGGATGTGTGAAATAGCTTCAAAACAGATCTGCGTTTGCAAAGTGTAGCAACTGGGGCTTAGTAGGAGCCAAGGGAGGCCTGTCTGGTTGGTCTGTCTGAGGACACCAGCCGACATGCTATCCGTGCCAAACGTGTTGCAGTCATGCCTAAAGATATCCAGCCAGCACACCACTTATGTGGAGAGCAAGCTTAAAACTCCACTATGAGTTCAGGAAACATTCTTCATTCTCAGAATAGAAAAAAAATCTTCCTACTATTGGTAGTTTTGAATTTAGATTTTTTTTCCAATGGGGTCAAAAGGTACCTCAGTATATGATTTTGAATGGAAAACTAGGGGATAGAATCAGGTATTGGCAATTTTTTTTCCTGTTTTCATTTGTATGTGAATTTTGAATATAAATGCAAATGACATAAAGCATTAATGTAGTCAAAAATATTTCAGTGAACAAGTTTCAACCATCCAACTTTATAATAATCATAGATAAATCTGTTACATGTTTCTGGACATGCCAACATTTGGATTTTTTAAAATAAGTAGGTTTCTTATTGATGGCAACTAAATGGTGTTCATAATATTTTTATTATACAGTACTTTCCATCCATTCACTATACTTTTCTGAGTTGGCCTATATGTAAGTATGTGTTTTTAATGTCTGTATTCTGTGCTGTTCCTATAAATTTGCTATTAAAATACATTAAACAAAAGAAAAAAGAATGGATTTAAGCCTTCTGGTACTAGTTTGCTGGGGCTCTTCTCTGTTCCAAAGAGCTGGGATGTCTGGAGTAAGGAATCACTATTTGAAGAGGAAACGCCCATTAAAGCTAAGGCTAATAGAACTGACAGAGTTTCCATATTGGAAGAAAAGCTGCTAAGATTTTTTCCCCAGTCTGAAAATTCAGTCAGTAAACATTTAATAAGCACCTACTGTGTGCCAGACACTGTACTCAGTGCTGGGTCCTGCCCTCAGGAGCTCACAATCTAACATGCAAACAAATAAATGCAAAGCAAGCTATATACAGGATAAATTGGAAATAATTAAGAGAGCAAAGGCATTAGGATTAAGAGAGGTTGGGAAAGGCTTTCTTTAGAAGATGGGGTTAGCTGGGACATAAGGGAAGCCAGTAGGCAGAGATGAGAAGAGAGGGCATTTCAGGCATGGGGGACGGTCAGTGCAAATGCTTGGATTTGGTCAGTGAAATTCTCATTCACGGAACAGCCAGGAGGTCAGTGTCACTGGATGGAAAAGTACACGTGGGAGTAAGGTGTAAGAAGACTGAAAAGGTAGGAGGAGGCCAGGTTATGAAAGGCTTTGAATGCCAAACTGCACTTTGTGTTTGATCCTAGAGGGAGTAGGGAGCCTGTGGAATTTATTTAGTGCTGGGGTTGGGGAGTGTTATATGGTCAGATTGATGAGTTAGGAAAATCACTTTAGTGGCTGAGTGGAGGATGGATTGGAGTGAAGAGAGCCTTGAGGCAGAAAGACCCACCAGCAGCTATGGTAGTAATCAAGGTGTGAGGCGATGAGTGCCTGCACCAGAAGGGGGGATGTTGGAAAGATGTTGCAAAGGTGGAATTGACAAACCTTGGTAACAGATTGGATATTGGGGGGGGGTGGTTAGGATAGTGAGGAATCTGGGGTGACTCCTAGGTTGTGAGCCTGAGGGGCTGAGAGGATGGTGTTGCCCTCCTCAGTAATAGGAAGTTAGAAGGGGGAGAGGGTTTAAGGGAAAGATAATGGGTTCTGCTTTGGACGTGATTTACTTAATGGCTCCTGAAATGTCTGAAAGGCGGTTGGAGATGTGAGATGGGAGGTTAGTGGAGAAATTGGGGCAGCATAGGCAGATTTGAGAGCCATCAGCTTAGAGTGTGATGCATGAAGGCTTTGCCTTTCAAAACAAGCTTTCAAGCTAAAAGAGATGTACCTGTTTCTGTCATGGGGAAGAGGTAGCACATCAGCTGATGACTTACAAGTGGTAGGATTAGAAGTAGAAACAGAAGAGAGGCCTTGCTGTTCCTCTACAGTTTGGAACTGGGATGATCCCAATGCACAAGTCAGGACTGCGAGGTTCAGGACACTTTTTAGGACTGTATCCTTGGTTCAATCCTGGGCATTGGATTCATCCCCTCACTGGATGCAAAGATAAGTTTCATAACCTTGCCCTTATTGGGACTGCACCTGGAATTAACCACAAGACTGCTGGGCAGTGACCACTCAAGGCCAGAGAATAACTCTCAGCAGAAGCTCTGCCATCTCCAGCAGACACTGCAGTCCACATGAGACCAACAAGGAGGAGCACGATGGCATCGCCAGCGGCAGTCAGCAGCCGGGCAGTCACAGAGGCATGAGTGACCCCTCTACCTATCGTCCTTGACCTTGTGCCCTACAAGTCTGTGCCTCCTTCTATGTTCGTTATTCCCACCAATGGTATTGTGACACAGGCCACCTTCCTCTCCCCAGTCCACCAAAAGGCCAGGTGTGTTAGATTTCATCATCCCCCTCCCCCAGAGTTCTCCACTGCCCTTAAGGGAATTGGTGGCTGTCTGGGCTATCTGCAAGTCACTCTGGCCCTCGCTGATCTCATTCCCCTCA